AAAAAAACAAAAAGCGCGTCCTCTCTGCTACAGTCATTACGGTATTGCAGCCTTATGGGATTGGTGAGAGCTGCATGTGTGGTTCTCTTCAGAAGCATTGCTCTTAAAACCATGGCTCAGCACAAGTTCATTGGTAAGACACGTCGTTCAGTAGCTAGTTACTAAAACATACAGAGATGATAAAAGAGTTAAAGTGTCACTAAATGCTGCTGCTGGTGTAAAGACACACACAGGCCTGTCTGTTCAGGTAGCATGGCAGCTATCAGATAGCCAGCACACAGCAGTCAGAGAGGATGTCAGAGGGTGTCACTCTGGTTTATAGCAGCACTGCAGCTGTTTCTACTGTCTGCAGCATTAAACTGAGGAAGTCATGAAGGTGGTGGAGGCAAACTGTTGGAGTTAAACCCCACAGGGAGAGACTCAGCATGGCTGTAAACTAGCAGGGGTATATTTAGGTTAAGATTTTGGTATCTTTTCTATCATTTAATACACTGACAACTCCTGTTTAAGTGACATATTTTATGGATATTTCATATTATATTCAAAACTGTACAATTAATCCAAATAGGGAACTGCACAAAGTCTGTGTAAAACAAGGGATTTGGATGCATTTTGAGCAGATTATGTCCTGTTTAAGGAACATTTTATACAATTATCTGTTAGTATTATGTATTTTATACAATCATACATACTTAATCAGCTTTTTTTTTTTAACAAATTCTGTGTTTTTATTATTAAAACTATTAAACACTTAATAATTTACTTTACATTTACTTTTCTTCAAGTAAGAACTGAACCAAATGTAGAAATACAGTCCTGTTGTGTATATTTTTCAAGTTTTCTTAAACGCCTTAAAACCAAGAAGGCCTTGCATATTTGTCAGACTAATTGATGAGAATTGATAGAGAAAATAATTGTTATTTGCAGTCCAAATAGAAAACATATGCTGTTCAATAATGCTCTGGTAATTACTACATTATGTTGTCCCTACCATACACCTGTAATGTACCAATGTATTGACTGTATTGATCCGTACCAGCTAGATCAGTTGTGACTGTATTAATAACATACTCTCTGCAGGAGGAGACGTTGGTACCAGTATCACAGATATCGATTGCAGCACATCAACTAAGAATCACAAGAACATGTTTGGTGACATGTGGCAGTATGGGTAAATTCCAACCTCTCCCTCTGCAGATATCGGGGTGAACCTGACCGATCCCATGTTCAGAGGACTCTACAGAGGGAAGCAGAAACACGACGGTGAGCTAGTTCATGCTTTTGACTCGTCGGCTGTTGAGACAACGTTAATCTGAGACCGGCTGTGATTTTCTTTTCGACAGATGACTTCAATCAGATCATCGACAGAGCGCTCAAAATCGGGGTTGAAAAGGTAAGCTTACTCTAATACAAGTGGCATTGCTTTATGGTTGGCAGAGACTGAAACAGCTCAACAACTACTGGATGGATTGCCATTAAATTCAGTACAGACATTCATGGTCCTGGACGATGAATCCTACTGAGGTTTCCTCTAGTGCAATGGTTTTATAACTGGGGTACGGGGACCAACAGGGGTCGTTGAGTGGGTTGTAGAGTGTCCCCAGCAAAAGAATATTTCAACTTTTATCACATTTTTGGAATAGTAGGCCGATCATTGTTTAATCACTGATTGACTATGAGGACTTTATTATCTTCAAACCAAAAGAAACAAAAAACAAAACTTAAGACCAAATCCTTTCAAATTGTGGGTCCGTGGTCGTGTGCATTTATTCTGGGGGATACATCTAGCACCATCATCAGGTCAGAAGTATAATTTGTCCAATACTTTGGTTTATGACCATAGAACTGCAAAACGAATGACATTCCCGTCACCTCAGCTTTGTGTTTAGTGCTAGTTAGCAAATGTTTGCATTGTCGTGTGTGTGAAAGCACCACTGTAATTACAGCCTCACAGAGCAGCCAGCATGTCTGTAGACTCTTGTTACTGTACACTGAAAAAAATCCCATTTAAATGTCCCCAGTCTCATTTGTATTAATGTTAATATTTGTTGCGTTGTTGCAGTTTATGATCACAGGAGGAAATCTTGAAGACAGCAAGGAGGCCCTTAAACTAGCTGAGAGCAGAGGTAATGAGACCAAATAAGGTTTTTGAACGTACTTAAATAGGTGATTTTCTGCCTGATGTTTTCCTCTATGCTGGACCATTATAACGATATATTTACATTTATTACAGAGGAGTTCTTCTGCACGGTCGGCTGCCATCCCACCCGCTGCAGTGAGTTCGAGCAGAATGGAGAATCCCAGTACTTCTCAGGGCTGAGGGAGCTGGCGACGGCACACAGAGGAAAGGTGGTGGCCATCGGAGAGTGTGGACTAGGTGTGTTCTGTCAGAGGGGTTGCATTTGAGCAGTAATTAAAAAAAATACAGAGATGATTTACATTTTTATCCACAAGAAATGAGTCACTTACAGCTCATTGCTTTTTGTTGTCCTGACACTATAGTCTATATGTATGATATAGAGTAAGAGTAGTAGATAAGCCTTTATTGATCCCCAAGAGGGAAATGCAGATGTTGCAGCAGCTAAGACACAGAGAAGTAAATGCAGATAAATAGAGAAAAAGTAAGAAATACATAAACAAGAGGTAAAATATCCTAATACTAATAATGATTCTACTCATACTAATAATAAAACAATTCAAGTCAAAGTTAAAAGGCAAGCAGGATGCATACACCTTACCCTAATGGTGCAGTACTGTCTGAGCAAGGTGTAATATACTAAACACCATATATAGTGTAGCATAATAGAGGATCGCACATGAGTTATGTTGCCTATATTTTGTATATTATTGAATTCAATATTGTATTTATGTGTAAGTGTAAGAGTATTACCGTATATCAGTGTAAATATATGGACTATAAAATAAAAAGATAGAAGTATAGAGAAGTGATTGTTTGGTGATATGTTGTGATGTGTGTTTCCTCTTGTGTTATAGATTTTGACAGGTTGGAATTTTGCCCAAAAGAAACTCAACTCAAGTAAGTTTATTTTTCTCTATTGAGTATTAAAGCTGCTCTAATTGGCTGCACTTAATTGGCTTTTGACCAGAATGTGTGTTTGTTCAGTTGTCTCACCACTGAATGTGTGACTGAGCTCTGAATATGTCGAATACTTGTTGGATAAATTGTTTAAAGGCGGGGTATGTGATTCTGGATTATACCATGACAAATACAGTGATAGAGTGCAAACAACGACACAGCAAGTAATGCAACTAATGTGAGCTAGGTTGTGGGTTTGCAGACTGAGTGAGGCAGAGAGGACGAGACGGTTTCCCAGAGCCAGCACAGCAGCTCCAGACAGCGATACTCACAACTCTCCTGCCACTACAGCTAACATCGGAACAGCATAACCTGACAAACTAGAAAGTAAACTAAACGCCTGTGGAAAAGTCATTTAACGTTACCTGACACACAAATCCTGTCTGGAATAACAAGTTAGTGTTTGTCCACTTTGTTTGTTCCCATTCACAGAGCCAGGGCTGTGTGCAACCACAGGACTGTAAAGCTAGCAGACTGTGAGGAGATGTTTGTTGAATTTGAAACAAAGTGAATTGGATTAGAATCACACTACCTAGAATCACTTACCCCACCTTTAATCGAAAGTTTTAAATTTACAAGTTCCCAAAGCCCACACTGACATGTTCAAATAAATGTCTTGTTTTTGTCAGACCAACTGTCCAAAACTCAAATATATTCAATTAGCAATAATATTAAACAAGAAAAGTGTCTCTTTGTTTGATAAATGACACATGATGCCACGCCATTATTGAGTACAGTTCTGGAATCGTCTTCATTTGGACGCACTCATCATTGTCTCTTTCTGGTCTGTAACAGATACTTTGAGAAGCAGTTCGACCTGGCAGAGGAGACCAAGCTGCCCATGTTCCTCCACTGCAGAAACTCCCATCAGGAGTTCATCGGTAGGTTTGTGCACCCAAGACCTGGTCTTCTGCATGAGAGGGGTATTTTGTTTTAGACAAAGCAGTTTACTGTTTCTTTGTCTCTGTTTCGACAGAAATCATGAAGAGAAACCGAGACCGATGTGTTGGAGGAGTGGTGAGGACATTAGTTTTATATTATATACTAGAATTAAAGTGTGCACTGTATACTCGTCTTCACAGTTAACTGTTTGCTGGGAATTATTCAGTTTGCAGTTTAAAGACTGAACACAGAATTGAAAGGACTAGAGTTGGAGATGCTGATTACCTTTTTAATTCTTTCTTTCAGGTCCACTCGTTTGATGGGACTGCAGAGGACGCAGCTGCACTCATTGACCTGGACCTCTACATTGGAATAAATGGATGGTGAGAGGATTTTCCCCTTGAACCTGAAGACTAAACCTGTCATTACAGGGACGGGCGATCTGGCCAATAATAATCCATCAATCTATTTAATTGTAATCACTATCCAGCCAAAAAAACAGGAACCGACAGTCGACAGCAACGTCTGATGCATTTTTAATCAACCAAACAAGTTGTAACTATTGTCTTGAAGCTTGTGAATCAACTTAGAGGAAAAATCATACTTATTTCACTAATAGGGATGAGTGTGTACACCATTATCTGTATCTGATCAGCCAACTAAACTGTCTATATTTTGTATCTGTACTTGAAATTTTTTAATACAAGTTGCTCCTCTCCAGGTATTATTGAGACAGGCTGAATAGGCTCAACATGCAGTGACTTAACTGATACACAACTAAACCAAATGTAAACTTCTTTCCTATTCAAAAAAAGCTCAAAATAAAAGCTTCTCTCTTCATATATGGAAAATATTACATCTGGAAGGCTAAACCAAATATTTTGATTCTCAAAATACACAATAATACCTAAACCTCAGGTCAGATTTATCATCTCATAATAGAGTTGTGGTATAGCTCTGTGGTTTTTAAACAAATTAAAGATCATTTCATTTTAAAGCTACCTATTTTTCTATTTTTCAGTTCCTTGAAAACAGAGGCCAATATTGAAGCTATGAAGTCAATCCCCACCGAGAGACTCATGATAGAAACCGGTGAGTTGTAGCCAGTTCATAGGATTAAAGAAGGTATTTGACTAAATGTGGCCACTGAATGGTGAAAGAAAAAACAATAGAATTAACTTTGTTGTCACCACATGAAGCCAAATGTCTGATATTCCAGTTAAATAGCTCAAGAATGATTATTTTACAACATCAGATTTACTTTACTTTACTTTTGAAGCTGTATCACAGTCGTGAAACACTCAAACCCTTTATGGCTTCATCAATACACGTTCCGTATCACATTGCTGTTGTTAGCGTGGTTATTAAACTGTTAAATCCCTTCCTGCTCCTTCCCAGATGCTCCGTGGTGTGGCGTGAAGAACACTCACGCAGGCTCCAAAAACATTAAAACTACATTTCCCACAAAGAAGAAATGGGAGGCGGGGCACTGTCTGAAGGACAGGAATGAGCCCTGTCACATCATGTGAGTAACGTCGGGATGAAGCTGGAGGAGAGGAATCAGCAGTTTACAAGTAGTGATGGGCAGACTGATTCTTTTTGATACATGGGGATGTATCTAACTTTTTATGGTTTAATACTTTTGGCTAAATGTAGCATCAGTTTCTCCATGACACTCTATTACAGTACACACACGTTTAATAGTGCTTCGCTGTTTGTCTCTTGCAGACAAGTTCTGGAGGTGATGGCCGCAGCGAGGGAGGAGGACCCGCTGGAGCTGGCCAACACAATCTACAACAACACCATCAAAGTCTTCTTCAGCTCCAGCTGATGATGAACCAGACTGGACCTTCATGAGATCGACTGAATGACTTCATGAATGTGTGTGTATCTGTATGTGTATGTTTGACCTGTCTGCTTCCCAAATAAAAACATCATTTTTATGGGTTTATCTTTAATGCTGAAACAATTAGTTGTGTTCAATGTAGATATAAATGAAGGTCCTTTTGGGTTTTTGAAGTTCAGCCATGATTCCCTTTCCCTATGTAATTTGAACTTAACAGTCTCTCTTTCAACACATTGACACTCATAATTTCCAAATCTTTTTGTTAATGTAAATATGTTTGATTGTTGAATCACAGATGTGATTTTCGTACATTTATGTCTGTTTGTAAAATTATTTTGCCAAAACTTCATTAACCAAAATATATGTGAAGATGAAACCATTTTATCATCATTGTCCTGTTGCTGCTGTTACATTCCCCCAGACGCAAGTTCAAAAGACACACTGTAGATTTTTTACTTCCTAGGTGTGTACATATATAAATTACTGTATATATTGGTCTATTTTAATGTTATTCTATGAATTTAAGATAAGATATTCCTTTATTTATCTCCCTTAGAAGAAATTCAGGTTGACACAGCAGCAATAGGGCAAAGTAGTGCAAAACAGAGAACAAAGAATATCACAAATAAAAATATTACAAAATACAAAATATAATAGAAGATATAAAACTATAAACTATAACTATATATAAACTATAAACTATAAATGAAAGTATATACACTATGCATTGTTCAAGTAGGACAAGGAGTGCAAAATATGAGCCGAAAATTAAACTTGACTATAACTAAAAAACTAAAATTGAACTGTACAAGTGGAAATTGGATATAGTGCAAAAGGTTTGTGCGTTGTAGGTAGGAG